AAACTCCAGCCTCGGAACGCCCCTCCCCCGCTCCCCGGGTCATCGGCTGACTCTGCTGGGAGGGGGCTCAGGACGAAACTCCGGGCCACCCACCAAGGAGCATGCCTGGCACGGCTTCCCGGGCCGGGAACGCAGAGAACAAGGGGGCGGAGACTCGGTCTGTGTGCCCCCAGCCCCGCGCGGGGACCGCGCCCAGGAGGTGCCCCTGGCCCGCCGGACGCCCCCGAGTTGCCAAAGGGGTCTCCCGGGAGCCGCGAAGGGTGAGCCCTGGGGGGAGGGGCTGCGGCTCGCTGCGGGAAAGCGCTGCTCGGGGGTCTCGGGGGCTGGGGCTGAACTCACCTCCGGGGCCGGCGCCCTCCGGGGGCTCCATGCGGCCGGCGGGGTCTGGGAGGGGCACGGGCGACGGCGGTGTCGCCTGGCCCGGGCGCCCCAACAGCTGCGGCAGCTACTCGGCCCCGGCTCCAGGCGCAGCGCATCGGGGCAGCAACCGGGGGGCCGCGGCGGCAGGGAGGAGCCCGCGGGGCGGGGCGCGCAGCTGCTCCCGGGCCCCGGCCCCCTCCCAGCGCCCCCCCAGCCGCAGGACAGGTGCGGCCCCGCCCCGGCCCGCGCGCGCCCCCTGCCGGCCCCCGGCCCCGCGGACGCCTCCCCCGCCGACCCTTCCCTCGTGGGCCGCGCCCCGCCCCGGGACCCCGCTGCGACCTCCCGACCCCGGTCGGGCGTCCGGGGCTCCTGCGCACTCACTCGGCAGCCGCGCCCGCTTGCGTCCTCTTGTTCTCTTTCAGGTGCGTGCGTGTGGGGCGCCGACTGCGTGCGGGCGCCCCTCGGGGCTGGCGAGGGGCACAGGAGGGGCCTGACTCGGGCGGGTAATGACAGAATCGCAGAGCGCACTGGATGGTGTGAATTAACGCGGGGGGTGGGTGGGGGCGAGGACGTGTACCTGGGAGGCTGGAAGGGGCGGGGTGGGGGATGGGAGGCAAGGAGAGGGCGGCGGGGCCCGGGCTGCAGAGAGCGCCCAGGCAGTTTCGATGAAATCCCACCTCCCAGCAGGCGCTCAAACCCCCGCCGCGTGGGGCGGACTCTCTCAGCCCACAGAGCTCTCGTGCAGTGTCTCCCTGCTTCTCCCACTGATCCTAAGAAGAAGGTATCCTTTCAGGTGAAGAAGCACAGAGACCTTAGGTAACCTGTCCAGCGATGCAGTCGGGTGCTGAGAAGCTCTGACTCCAGGCCCGTGCTCTGCACTTGAAACAAAACAAACCAAACCAAAGTGTCAGGTAGGAAGAATTTGTTCCCAGCTGGGAGTGAAAAAGGCAATGAACTTGACAGATGGACTCGGGCGGCCCAGATTGCAGGAAAGGCTGTTTCAGAGGCCAGTGGTCCGTTCAGCTTCCACTAACCACAGTCAGACCTCAAGGCCCTGGCTGCCCGGCCCAGCCTGACTCCTGCCCCAACTCCGGTTACGGGGGCATGTCTTTGAGTCTGGAAGTCAGTGGGGCAGGCTTTTAGTTTCCGTGTTTCTTTAGTTTACAAAACAAACAAAAACTGCTGTTTAAAAGCCTCTGAAATGATTTCATGACCCACTGGCCTCCTCGCCACCCTGAGGGGTGCAGAGCCTTGCCTCTCGGGGAGGCAGTGGAGCAAGCTAGTGGCTGCCCTGGGAAGTGGGAACAGTGCGTGGGCGTAGACCACCCAGAGTTGTTTGGGGTGGCAGGTTGTTTTTTCTCAAAATGACCACAGCAGTAGTTCTGATCCCCTGTGTCTTCCAGAACCTTCCATTCCCATGAAGACACCCCCACCCATGCTGCTTCTCCGTCAACATTATTGGGGCTTGGGACTGCTCTGGCCAGTAGAGGGTGGCAGAAGCAATGTCATGTGACTCCCAAGGCTGGGTCTTGAGAAGCATTCAGCTCTGTGGAAAGGTTCCTCCTGGAACTAGAACTTCCTCCATGTTGTGAGGAAGCCCATGCCACATGGGAGGACACCTGTGTGTGTTACTGCTGGCGGTCCCACTGAGCTCCCCGACAGCAGCTGGCCTCAGCTGCCGAAGCGAGTGAGCCTTTGAGCTGTCCTGGGGAGGGGTGATGAGTGGGGATGAGGCCAGCTGTCCCCACTTTGTCATGGCCAAGTTGCAGATTCACGAGCAGAACAAATGTCATTGGATTAAGCTGCTGTGTTTTAGGGCTGCTTGTTACGCAGCTGTGGTAACTGTAACAGTCATCATTGTGTGTGAATGATTCCCATTTGAGAGAGGAATAAATGATACAGAGGGGTCTTGTCGAAGATTGTCCTGCTGGTAATCAATAGGCAGTCTGACTCCAGAGGACAGTGTCTATTTGTCTTTAACTTTTTATTAATAACATTAGCAAACACGAAAGTAGAGAGAATGGCACAACTGACCCACATGTACCTACCACCCAGATTCAGTGATTACTAACTCCTGGCCTGTGCTGTTGCTTCTCTGTCCTCATTCACTTCCCTCCACTGCTGGGTTATTTTGAAGCAAATTATATACACATTAGATCACTGCATTTGTAAATACTTCAATATTTATCTCTCAAAGAAAGTCCATTTGCTGGAGAATTGAGTCATGCCTATAATCCCAGCCCTTTGGGAGGCCGAGGTGGGAGGATAGCTTGAGCCCAGGAGTTTGAGACCAGTCTGGGGAACAAAGCAAGACACTATATCTTCAAAAAATAAAAATAAGAACATAAGCCAGGTACAGTGGCTTGGAGGCTGAGGTGGGAGGATCGCTTGAGCCCAGGAGTCCAAGGCTGCAGTGAGCTATGACTGTATGTCTCAAAAAGAAAACAAAAGAGAAAGTCTAGTCTTCATAAACACTCTTGTTATCCCAACATCCAGGCCTTCGCTGAGTTGATGCAGTGGCCTGAGGCAGTTTACCTGGTGGATAGTGGGCGGCAGGAAGCATCAGACATCAGACAGAGGGCAGTTGGTTTGTTTGTATTAACATTTGCTCTGAGATTTTTCAGGAAACTCAGAGCTGCACAGCTTGACACTGAATGAAAGTATCTTAAGCCATATATGTGAAGAAAAGGCTCTTTTCCAAAAATCTGAACTCAAATTCAATATGAAAAGAACAAGTTGCAGTGGGCCCTGTCGGGAGCCCAGGGAGCTGCAATTCAGGACTCCCTAAATGATTCATTCATCTCTGCAGTCCACACCGACAGACCAAGCTGTGCTCTTCGCTTGTGAAAAATGAATACCCTGTCTAGGCTATCCTGAGCTAACCCTCCTATTCTTGCCCTTTTTGCTGAAAGGAATTATTGTTAATACAGCTATTTAATTCAGGACTCTCATCCAGACTTCTGAAGCAAAAAGCCAATCAGCATGAAGCTGCTAGCATATTGGTTTTGTGAAGTAAGTGTTAAATAATAATAATAATTACCCCCACTGTGCTCTCCAGTGTCACTGTCTGACCACCTTATCCCAGGGGGAGGAGGCCCCCTCAGGCCAAGGGAGTCTGGCACAGTGACCAGCCAGACTTCACCAAGGCCTCAGGGCTTACTATAAATAAATCACAGCTTTGTACAAGCTGAGCCAGTGCAGTTCTTCCAACTGTCTGCTCTTCTCCAAGAACAATCAGGACTTGGGTGGGCAAGCAGGAAGTCTCTCATCATGATGGTTCTCAGATTCCCACCACTGTGTGGGTGCCCGAGGCCTGAGCAAGCCTAGCTCATGTGGCAGCATGAGCTGGACGGGAAGACCTAAGTCCACCAAGCCTTTCATTTCTCACCCTTTGCCCCCAGCACAACTTTCTATGACCATAGATTCTGGAATCTTCATCCCAAGACACACAGGAGAACAAGATCTGCTGCAAGACCTTTTTTTTTTTTTTTCGAGACATGGTCTCAGGTCTCACTCTGTTACCTAGGCTGGAGTGCAGTGGTGTGATCTTGGCTCACTGCAACCTCCACCTCCAGGGCTCAAACGATCATCCCACCTCAACCTCCCAAGTAGATGACCACTTTTTTTTTTTTTTTTTTTGAGACGGAGTCTCGCTCTGTTGCTCAGGCTGGAGTGCAGTGGCTGGATCTCAGCTCACTGCAAGCTCCGCCTCTCGGGTTTACGCCATTCTCCTGCCTCAGCCTCCCGAGTAGCTGGGATTACAGGCGCCTGCCACCTCGCCCGGCTAGGTTTTTGTTTGTTTGTTTGTTTGTTTTTTTAGTAGAGACGGGGTTTCACTGTGTTAGCCAGGATGGTCTCGATCTCCTGACCTCGTGATCCGCCTGTCTCGGCCTCCCAAAGTGCTGGGATTACAGGCTTGAGCCACCGTGCCCAGCCGATGACCACTTTTTAAGAAGATGTTGGCCGGGCGCGGTGGCTCAAGCCTGTAATCCCAGCACTTTGGGAGGCCGAGACGGGCGGATCACGAGGTCAGAAGATCGAGACCATCCTGGCTAACACGGTGAAACCCTGTCTCTACTAAAAAAACTACAAAAAAGCTAGCCGGGTGAGGTGGCGGGCGCCTGTAGTCCCAGCTACTCGGGAGGCTGAGGCAGGAGAATGGCATGAACCCGGGAGGCGGAGCTTGCAGTGAGCTGAGATCCGACCACTGCACTCCAGCCTGGGCGACAGAGCGAGACTCCGTCTCAAAAAAAAAAAAAAAAAAAAAGAAGATGTTGAAGATGACAGCTTACGGCCAGGTGTGGGGCTCACGTTGTGCTCCCAGCACTTTGGGAGGCTGAGGCAGGAGGATCGCTTGAGACCAGGAGTTTGAGACCATTCTGGGCCATAAAGCATGACCCCATCTCTATAAAAAACTTCTTTAAAAAAGCTGGGTGTGGTGTCTCACACCTGTAGTCCCAGCTTCTCAGGAGACTGAGGTGGGAGGATTGCTTAAGTCCAGGAGGTCGAGGCTGCAGTGAGTTGTGATCACAGCCTAGGCGACAGAAGGAGACCCTGTCTCCAAAAAAGAAAAAAAGAAAGAAGCACCTGTTTATGACAAACTCAGCCTTCTGGGTGACATAGATAGTTGTATGTAGGTAACAGGGTGGTTTCAGGGATGGCAAATTCACTTTAGAAATTGTAAAATGCCTAGCAGTCTTCAGAACAAGAGATTAGTTAGAAAAGGAAAGTGACAACTGTGTGTTTTCTCAGGGCCTGTCGGAAAGTCTCTGGTTTCTCTTCATCCCTGAGGACTGGGGAGGAGGCCTTTTCAGGAAGAGCAGTTTACTTTTGTGAAAGGGATACTTCCTGATTTCAAACATTTGGAACTAAACTGGAACCTATTTTTCTTTCCTATTGGTACGTTTTTGAGGTGTGTGTAAAGCCACCAGCGCAGCAGCTGGGAGGACCCCTCAAAGCGGGGCGGGTGGGGTGAGTGAATCCCAGCGGGTACAGTCTTTGCCCAGATTTGAGTCTCATTTGGGTGATGTTTCAGAGCCCTGGGTGGCAGATGACCATTTATTCAACGGTCCTTCATTCACTCATCCAGCCACTCAGCACATCTTTACTGAGCACGTGCCCTGTGCTGTGCTAGGCGCTGAAGGATAGAAGTGAACGGGTCTCTCCTCATGGAGCTTAGGTTCCAGCAATAAGCAAAACATGTCCTGCAGCGAAAGGCTTCTGGGCTTCTGGGCTGCCGGCGAGATCTTCCCAACTTTCACTGCCGGGTTCCTTCCTGACGCCCGTCTCTAGGGACGCACTCCCGCGGGTGGCAGGGCTGGGGCCCGGCGGAGTCTCGCGAGGATCTGGTGACTTCTCGCGGTAGCGCCCAGCGGTTGCCGGGAAACGGCGTGGCTTCCGGGGGGCGGGCGCGTTGGTCCGGGAGTCGCGGCTGGGCCTGTCCGCTGGCGTCATGGTGAGCAGGGGCTGGAGCGGGGCTGAGGTCCTCAGCAGGGGCCTGGAGACCTCGGGGCAGGGAGGCCTCGGTACACAGAGACCCTGGGAATGGGAGGACTGGAGCGCTGGGTTCCTGGAATTGAGAGCTCGGTGCTCTTGTGAGGGTCTCCGTGGGGCAAACTCAGGATGCTGCTGGCCCCGGGGCCTGCCCGCACTCGGAGCTGAGACCTGGGCTGTCCAGAGCCCTGTGCTCCCTGGGGTGGTCATAGAAAGCCCAGGACCCAGGGTCCGCAGCGCATGGTCCCCAGAAGAGTGAAAATGCGTCAAGGGGACTCCCATCCTGGAATGGGAGACTCGGTCTGTTGGATCCCTGGGACCTAGGGTTTCACCTCACAGGGGCTTTGCAGCGCACAAGGGTGCCCATTGAATAGAGCCGGGGGCAGGTATTACCCTAAGCCCTTTGGTCTCCGGAATGGAGAGCCTGGGGCACACCAGAGTGGCTAGAGATCCCTCTACACCAAGGAGGCCTGGACAGGTCCAGTGCCCTTGGAGTGCCCAGGGCACAACCTTGGGATGCAGGAACCACTGTTCCCTTGGAAAGCCTGGCAGGAGTCAGGCCCAGACCGAGAAGAGGAAGGCGGAGCTCGTGGCCTCATCAGCGCCATCTCTGTCTTTCTCGTGTAAAGGGCTCTCCCTTTGTGATACAGGAATTGTCAGTAACTCAATTTCTGGGCAGGTGTGGCAGGGTGGGTTTCAGCTGGTGGGGGAGGAAAGCTCTGGGAGCCCCACCAGGTCCCTGCAGCTGGCTGTGAAGGTCCCAAATGCTAAGTGATGCTGAACCTTCCTCTGCGGCCTTTAGGGCTTTGTGATGAGGTAGCCTTCTTGGAGTGGAGGGATTAGAAAGAGAGCAGTACATTACGAATTAAGATTTAAGTGGATGAGTTTTTTGGCCCAGGAATGGTCTTCTGAAAACAGACTGTGAAAGAAACTACCAAACTAGGCCAGGAATCTGGGCGCCGTGACTCACAGCTGTAATCCCAGCTCTTTGCTAGGCCGAGGCAGGCGGATCTTGAGGTCAAGAGATCGAGACCATCCTGGCCAACATGGTGAAATTCTGTATCTAGTAAAAATACAAAAATTAGCTGGGCGTGGTAGTGTGCGCCTGTAGTTCCAGCTACTCGGGAGGCTGAGGCAGGAGAATGAGGAGGGATTAGAAAGAGAGCAGGCTATCATTTAATTAAGATTTAAGTGGATGAGTTTTGCTCAGGAATGGTCTTCTGAAACAGACTGTGAGGCAAACTACCAACTAGGCCAGGAATCTGGGCGCGTGACTCAGCTGTAATCCCAGCTCTTTACAGGGCCGAGGCAGGCGGATCTTGAGGTCACAGACGAGACCATCCTGGCCAACATGGTGAAATTCTGTATCTAGTAAAAATACAAAAATTTAGCTGGCGGTGGTAGTGTGCGCCTGTAGTTCCAGCTACTCGGGAGGCTGAGGCAGGAGAATTGCTTGAACTCTGGAAGGTAGAGGCGTAGTGGGATTTTTTTTTTTTTTTTTTTTTTTTTTTTGAGACAGAGTCTTGCTTTGTCACCCAGACTGGAGTGCAGTGGCCGGGTTTTTGTATTTTTTAGTAGAGACAGGGTTTCACCGTGTTAGCCAGGATGGTCTCGATCTCCTGACCTTGTGATCCATCCGCCTCGGCCTCCCAAAGTGCTGGGATTACAGGCTTGAGCCACTGCGCCCGGCCTTGTAGTGGGATTTTTAAGGAATCAGACTGATGCAGTCTAGAGGATATTTGTTAATTATTTAGGTGCACTGGCCCCAGTCAGATTAACATCCAAAGGACTGAGCTCAATAGAAGAGTCAAGTTACCTTTTTTTTTTTTTTTTTTTTGAGACAGAGTCTCGCTCTGTTGCCCAGGCTGAAGTGCAGTGGCGTGATCTCAGCTCACTGAAGCTCCGCCTCCCGGGTTCACGCCATTCTCCTGCCTCAGCCTCCCGAGTAGCTGGGACTACAGGCGTACACCACCACGCCTGGCTAACATTTTGTATTTTTTTAGTAGAGATGGGGTTTCACCATGTTAGCCAGGATGGTCTCGATCTCGTGACCTTGTGATCCGCCTGCCTCGGCCTCCCAAAGTGCTGGGATTACAGGCACGAGCCACTGCACTCGGCCAAGTTACCTTTTAAGCATTTCGTGTGGCAGACGGGAGATCTGTGCAGGGGGAAGCATACTACAGACGCAAGAAGCAAAGACAGTTGTTCAGTTGAAACGTACGTTACATCATTTCTTACTTTTTAAGGAAAAACATGTTTTGCGGCTTGAGTTTATCTGCCTAGTGACCTTGCAGCTGCGCTAGAGAAACAGGGTCTTCACAATGCCTGGGAAGGGAGGAGAGATCAGGCTCACTACCACCAAAAAACAGGCAGTTACTTTTTTTTTTTTTTTTTTTAATTAATTAATTAATTTATTTTTTGAGACGGGGTCTCGCTCTGTTGCCCGGGCTGGAGTGCAGTGGCCAGATCTCAGCTTACTGCAAGCTCCGCCTCCTGGGTTTACGCCATTCTCCTGCCTCAGCCTCCTGAGTAGCTGGGACTACAGGCGCCCGCCACCTCGCCCGGCTATTTTTTTGTATCTTTTGGTAGAGATGGGGTTTCACCGTGTTAGCCAGGATGGTCTCGATCTCCTGACCTCGTGATCTGCCCGTCTCGGCCTCCCAAAGTGCTGGGATTACAGGTTTGAGCCACCGCGCCCGGCCGACAGGCAGTTACTTTTTAAAGCACTCCAGCTCTTTCTCTTTCAGGGGGAGTTGGGTTTTCTTACATACAACTGAGTTTCTGCTTACACACTTTTTAATTTCTTTTAATTCCTGTTCCAGTTGCAGTGAGCCAGGATTGTGCCACTGCACTCCAACCTGGGTGACAGAGCAAGACTCTATCTCAAAACAAACAAACAAACAAACAAACCCACTACCAAACTACTTCTATTTCTATTAGGTTGTGGGAATATGGGCCTCGGTCTGTTGGATCCTTGGACCAAGGAATATGGATGATACTTTTTCTGTTTTCTTCTCATCAGTGTTTTCTAAAATTTCCACATAATATTTTCTTTTTCTTTCTCTCTCTCTCTCTTTCTTTCCTTCCTTCCTTCCTTCCCTTTCCTTCCTTCCTTCCCTCCTTCCTTCCTTCATTCCTTCCTTCCTTCCTTTGTTCCTTCCTTCCTTCCTTCCTTCCTTCGTTCCTTCCTTCCTTCCTTCTTTCCTTCTTTCTTGTCTCGCTCTGTCGCCCAGGCTGGAGTGCAGTGATGCAATCTTGGCTCACTGCAAGCTCTGCCTGCTGGGTTCACGCCATTCTCCTGCCTCGGCCTCACGAGAAGATGGGACTGCAGGTGCCCTCCACCATGCCTGGCTAATTTTTTTGTGATTTTAGTAGAGACGGGGTTTCACCATGTTGGCCAGGCTGGTCTTGAACTCCTGACCTTAAGTGATCTGCCCACCTCGGCCTCCCAAAGTGCTGGGATTACAGGTGTGAGCCACGGCATCTGGCTCCACCTAATATTTTTACTCAAGACTAAATGAAACATAAATGAAAATAAGTAGGCCAGTTGCAGTGGCTCACACTTGTGATCCCAGCACTTTGGGAGGCCGAGGCAGGCAGATCACGAGGTCAGGAGCGTGGGACCAGTCTGGCCAACATAGTGAAACCCCGTCTCTACTAAAAATACAAAAAATTTGCCAGACGTGGTGGTGCGTGCCTGTAATCCCAGCTACTCAGGAGGCTGAGGCAGGAGAATGGCATGAACCCCGGAGGCGGATCTTGCAGTGAGCTGAGATCTGGCCGCTGCACTCCAGCCTGGGCGACAGAGCGAGACTCCGTCTCAAACAAACAACAAAAAAAGGGTGACCGAGACATGTAGACACAGAAAAGCATGGGCTGAAGACTATTGGGAGTAGCAAAGTCAGCAGGATAGAATATGGAAATTTGGTATCTGCTTGAGTGCTCTGTAAATGGGTGGCCAGACAGAACTGCTCCTGGTGTTACACTGGTTTCAGCAACTTCCACAAGGAGGTGGGGTTGGAAGGTTCTCTCCCAACCTTGTCAAAGTTGCTAAAAGCACGCACGACGCCATGCGCAGTTCCGTCTGGCAGCCCATTACAGAGCTCTCGTGGTGGGTGCTGTCCGCCCAGGCTTTCTTGACCAGGCTTCTCTGAAGCAATTTTCTCTTTGGAAGGAAGGAAACTTCTGGTTGTCACAACCACTTGCGGTTATGGAGGCTTTTCTCCCTGCGCTTACTGAGTGGTGTCTTGCAGGTCTTTTCCATGGTGGTTACCAAGTATTGCTGCCAGCATGGTAGCGTTTGGCAGTGTGGTATTGAGGCTCTTCCCTCGGAGCCCAAGGACGTTTTGCATGCACAGCAGAGGCCTTTACTATTACCAAGAAGTGAGTGGGTTTGGAATGGGTTCCCCCTCTCTTAGTTTTTGGAGACAGGGTCTCGTTCTACTGCCCAGGCTGGAGTGCAGTGGCGCCACCATAGCTCACTGCAGCCTTAAACTTCTAGGCTCAAGTGATCCTCCTGCCTTGGCCTCCCAAAGTGCTGGGATGACACATGTGAGCCACTGTGCCTGGTCACCATATACCAAGGAATGAGTGGGTTTGGAGTGGGTTCCCTCTCTTTACTTTTTTTTTTTAAGGTACAATTTTCTTTTCTTTCTTTCTTTCTTTTTTTTTTCTTTTTGAGACGGAGTCTCGCTTTGTCGCCCAGGCTGGAGATGGAGTCTCGCTTTGTCGCCCAGGCTGGAGTGCAATGGTGTGATCTTGGCTGACTGCAACCTCTGCCTCCCGGGTTCAAGCGAGTCTTCTGCCTCAGCCTCCCGAGTAACTGGGACTACAGGCTCGTGCCACCACGCCCGGCTAGGTTTCCTCTCTTTTCTAGAAGGAATGTTCTCCTTCTCGAAAGGAAGGTTTCTCCTTTGTGCTTCTCCAAATGCAACAGCAGGATGTGTGTGTGGTTAAGGGCGGGAACACTCAGGGCAGTGATGTGCTCCAGGCGAGCAGAAGGGCAAGCGGTTCCAGAGCCTTTTCTACCACATGTCCCTGGAGCACATCAGAGCCCGGAAGGGGAAGCTGTTAGAGTCTCTCTTACTGACTCTACGATCTCCACCCAAGGCACCCAAAAAGAAAGGGAAGAAAGGCAAAGCCAAAGGCACCCTGATTGTGGATGGGCTTGCTCCAGAGGACATGAGCAAGGAGCAGGTGAGCAGAGCGGGCTGTGGCCCAGTCCCTGGGTCGCGTGGGTGGGCGTCACGCAGGGCACCTGCATGAACCTCTCGTGGCTGCACCATTTGTCCATCTCGCCATGTGGATCCTCCGTTCTGTTCAAGCCAGAACACCCGCCCCCTGTGGCCCGTGATTCCCATCAGCGGCAGAGCTTTCGGGTACACTGTGTCTTTTCAAAAAGGCAATGAGGCCGTTAAAGAACTTTGTAATAGGCCGGGCGCGGTGGCTCACGCCTGTTATCGCAGCACTCTGGGAGGCCGAGATGGGCAGATCACAGGGTCAGAAGATTGAGACCATCCTGGCTAACACGGTGAAACCCCGTCTCTACTAAAAATACAAAAAAATTAGCCGGGCGCGGTGGCGGGTGCCTGTAGTCCCAGCTACTCGGGAGGCTGAGGCAGGAGAATGGTGTGAACCTGGGAGGTGGAGCTTGCAGTGAGCCGTGATCGCACCGCTGCACTCCAGCCCGGGCGACAGAGCGAGACTCCATCTCAAAAAAAAAAAAGACCTTTGTAATAGGGCGGTAGGAATGTGGAAGGACATGTTTTTCTGATCTAAAAGCTATTTTTAATTTCATGTATTCTCCTTCAGTCTTACCCTTTTTTGCACCTGATGTGTATGGACTTATCATAGTACACATACTTAGCATTCTCCTTTATTTTATTTGCCATTAAACATTATCTCAAAAAAGGAAGTTTCTAAAGGAAAGATGATTTACTTAAAATCACATCTGAATCTGATTAATCATTCGTTGTTTTTGATAAAAGTCCCAACAAGGAGTCACAACATCAGGGCTGCCTTTTTCTTGTTGCTTATTTTGGGGAGGAGGTGATGTTTTTATAGTTTCTTTGTAGGAGTTAGTTTAAGTCCCTTCTTCATTTGGATGTAGTTAAGGGCTACGGAACATAATTATATAATTACAATTTTACCTAAGAGGCTCCTGAAGACGGCAGTGTCTGGCAAGCACGGTGCGCCCTCCGGCCTCTGCCCTGATGGACGACTGCCCGTGGGCACCTGACATGGGACATGAAGACTGTGTCAGCTCGGTGTTATTGTTAATCTTACCTTCTTTAGATAGTTGTAAGATAAAAAATCAATACGAAGGAGACTGAAAGAGTCACATGACCCGAAGTGGGAGCTGGGTAGAGGTCCTTGAACAATGGTAAAGAATGGCTTTTCTTTTTTTTTTTTTTTTTTTTGAGGCGGAGTCTTGCTCTGTCGCCCAGGCTGGAGTGCAGTGGCGCAATCTCGGCTCACGGCAAGCTCCGCCTCCTGGGTTCACGCCATTCTCCTGCCTCAGCCTCCCGAGTAGCTGGGACTATAGGCGCCCGCCACCTCGCCCGGCTAATTTTTTTGTATTTTTAGTAGAGATGGGGTTTCACCGTGTTAGCCAGGATGGTCTCGATCTCCTGACCTCGTGATCCACCCACCTCGGCCTCCCAAAGTGCTGGGATTACAGGCTTGAGCCACCGCGCCCGGCAAGAATGGCTTTATTTGACATGCAGGAAACCATTGGCAGTTTAAGCCAGTGGCTAAGCGGAGAGGTGATGGGGTCAGGTTTGTGTTCTGGAAAGATGTGTGGAGCTGCTGGGTGGAGAACGGATTGAACACTGTGTTGTCCCATCGTGTGAGCTGCTGCCCGTCTCCCTGTTTGCTTCCCATTCCTGTGGAGACAGGCCTTGTGGGGCAGTGGCCATGCAGTCTGCTGGGCAGGCCCTTGCACTGTACATTGCACATGGAGCCACAGACTCAGAGGGCTTCTTCAGGGGTCCAGGCAGGTGGGGAGGGATGGGGGCGACCTGGAGACTCCTGCCCCGCAGCAGACGACAGTTTTCGTCAGTTCACTGCGGATTGCCCTGTGGGCCTAGGACTTCAGTGCTGCTTTTTTCTGGTTTTCCAAGAGAAGCTGGAAATCTAGATATTTCTAAGAAATCTGAATATTGAGTGATGGCAAAATCTCAACACCGTGTGAGCCAAACAGACCGGCCAGAAACCCTGGCTCAGGCTCCGCACAGGAGACACTACAGGCCGGTGACGTGGAGACGTTTGTCACTGTGCTGAGGCGCTGCTTGGATTCGGGGGCGCTGTGCCTCCCTCATGTGGACCTACCCCCCGCCCGGCATCCTCAGCTCAGAACCCCTCCTGCTGCTCCTTCTTGATTGGTCGTTGTCTTGTCTTCTTTTGAGGTGAGAAGTGTGGTTTCCCTGTGGGGAGTGTGGTGTTGAGAAAGAAAAAGGCTTACAGTAAGTGACCCGGGGCTGTGCCCAAAAAGTAACTGATTCTGACGGAGTCTTGCTGTGTCGCTCAGGCTGGAGTGCAGTGGCGTGATCTCAGCTCACTGCGCGAACCTGCCTTCCGGGTTCACACCATTCTGCTGCCTCGGCCTGCCCGGTAGCTGGGACTACAGGCACCCGCCACCACGCCCGGCTAATTTTTTTATATTTTTAGTAGAGACGGGGTTTCACCGTGTTAGCCAGGATGGTCTCGATCTCCTGACCTCGTGATCTGCCCGCCTTGGCCTCCCAAAGTGCTGGGATTATAGGCGTGAGCCACGGTGCCTGGCAGTAAACTGATTCTTAAGGGAAATGAGCTCCCAAGAAAGCTGGAAGCCTGTCCTACTTTTTTTTTTTTTCTATTTGCAGATTCGCAGTTGAACCCTCTTGAGGGTCAGGAGTCTGCTGGTTTTGTGTGTTTTTTGCTTAACAGTATATCTTTAGAGGTGAATTTTTTTCATTTAGCATTATCATATGAATTTGTTTAAATGCTGCTACATCATTTGCCTGTATATGTTTTGTGTTAATGTGATATTTCTCCTAGTTGATATGTTCTAATTTGCCAACCATTTCCATATTTATTTATTTATTTTTTTAGAGACAGGGTCCTGCTCTGTCACCCAGGTGGAGTGCAGTGATGTGATCATGGCTCACTGCAGCCTCGACCTCCCAGGTTCAAGCAATCCTCCTATCTCAGTCTTCTGAGTAGCTGGGACTATAGGCACATGCCACCACTGCTGGCTAATTTTTTTTTTTTTTTTGTAGTGACGGGGTTTTGCCATGTTGCCTGGGCTGGTCAACTCTGGGGCTCAAAAGATCCTCCCACTTTGGCCTCCCAGAGTGGCGGGAGCCACCATGCCTGGCTGTTTGTGTATTTTTTGAGACAGAATCTCACTCTGTCACCCAGGCTTGAGTGTAGTGGCATGATCGTAATTAACTGCAGCCTCAGCCTCCTGAGTTTAAGTGACTCTCCCACCTCAGCTTTCCCAGTAGCTGAGACTATAGGTGCCATCATGCCTGGTGAATTCAAAAAAAATTTTGCAGAGATGAGGACTTGCTATGTTGCCCAAGCTGGTCTTAGACTCTTGGGCTCAAGGGATCCTTCCACCTCGGCCTCCCAGAGTGCTGGGGTTACAGGCGAGAGCCACTGTGCCTCACTCATTTCCCTGTTTAAACTGGTCTTAGATTATTTCCTTTTCGATATTTTTGCTGTTGTAATAATGGTGTGGGTAATATCTTGGAGCAAGATGTTCTTATATTTCTTTTGAGAAATTTCTTAGGCATAAATTCTCAGGAATGGATGAAAGGATATAGTTATTTTATGATTATTGGTCAAATTGAAGAGAATTCTTCCATTTGCTGAATGTATTCTGTCTCTGGAGCTTCCTAGCCTTATATTTTAACTTTTTACGTTCAGCTGTTTATTTTTAGGTGAAATTGAGTCCTCCCTCTTTCTTCCTTGCCTTTCTTCGGCCACACGCCCCTTTGCCGTGCATGGGCCCCTGCTCAGTGCCTCACCTGACCCACTGCACCTGGCCAGGTGGAGGAGCATGTCAGCCGCATCCGGGAGGAGCTGGACCGCGAGCGGGAGGAGCGAAACTACTTCCAGCTGGAGCGGGACAAGATCCACACCTTCTGGGAGATCACACGGAGGCAGCTGGAGGAGAAGAAGGCTGAGCTGCGGAACAAAGACCGGGAGATGGAAGAAGCTGAGGAGAGGCACCAGGTGGAGATCAAGGTGAGTGGGGCTGGCCTGCCTGTGGCCACGTGGTCACCACACAGCTGCAGAGGAGCTGGACCCAGTGAGGGTGCAGGTGGGACATTTTCTGTTCTTGGCTTTAGGAGTCACAGCCCTAAAAGTGTTTTTTATAAAAGGCTGAGGGAGGTAACCTGCAGGTCCTGAGGGTTTAAAATGTAGTTTCCACAACCTGGAAGGAGTATGGGCTCTGGGGGCAGACTGGCCTGTTTGCAACTCAGCTCTGCCACTGAACACCCCATGAGCTGGGGATGCACCTCACCTCCCAGCCTCGGTGTCCTACTCTGTGCCTCAAGTGTACAGGTTTGCATAGGTGAACAGGCATGTGTAGCTGTGTACAGGTGAGGAGGCATGCAAGTGAGCAGGTGGATGCAAGTGATGAGGTGTGTGCAGGTGAGGCGTGGGCAGATGAGGAGGTGGGGCAGATATGTGCAGATGAGGTGTGTGTAGGTGAGCAGGTGTCTACAGGTATGACAGGTGAGGAGGTATAGTACAGGTATGGTGCAGGGGACCAGGTGTGTACAGGAAGGTACAGGTGAGGTGTACAGGTGACCAGGTGTGTACAGGTACGGACAGGTGAGGAGGTGTGGTAGAGGTGACCAGGTGTGTACAGGTACGGACAGGTGAGGAGGTGGAACAGGTGTGGTGCAGGTGAGCAGGAGTGTACAGGTATGTACAGGAGGTGTGATACAGGTGACCAGGTGTGTACAGAATGTGCAGGCGAAGAGGTGTGGTGCAGGTGACCAGGTGTGTACAGGTAATGACAGGTGAGAGGTGTGGTACAGGTGTGGTGCAGGTGACCAGGTGTGTACAGGAATGTGCAGGAGGAGGTGTGGTAGAGGTGACCAGGTGTACAGGTACGGACAGGTGAGGAGGTGGTACAGGTGTGGTGCAGGCGACCAGGTGTGTACAGGTATGTGTACAGGTGAGGAGGTGTGGGTACAGGTGTGGTGCAGGTGACCAGGTGTGCACAGGGAATGTGCAGGTGAGGAGGTGTGGTAGAGGTGACCAGGTGTACAGGTACGGACAGGTGAGGGAGGTGTGGTACAGGTGTGGTGCAGGTGACCAGGTAAGCAGGTATGTACAGGTGGAGGAGGTGTGGTACAGGTGTGGTGCAGGTGACCAGGTGTACAAGAATGTGCAGGTGGGAGAGGTAGAGGTGACCAGGTGTGTACAGGTACGGACAGGTGAGGAGGTGTACAGATGTGGTAGAGGTGAACAGGTGTGTACAGGTATGGACAGGTGAGGAGGTGTGGTACCGGTGCAGTGCAGGTGAGTGGGAGTGTACAGGTATGTACAGGTGAGGTGTGATACAGGTGACCAGGTGTGTACAAGAATGTGCAGGTGAGGAGGTGTGGTAGAGGTGACCAGGTGTGTACAGGTACGGACAGGTGAGGAGGTGTGGTACAGGTGCAGTGCAGGTGAGTGGGAGTGTACAGGTATGTACAGGTGGGGAGGTGTGGTACAGATGTGGTTCAGGTGACCAGGTGTGTACAGGAATGTGCAGGTGAGGAGGTGTACAGATGTGGTACAGGTGACTGGTGTGTACAGGTATGGACAGGTGAGGAGGTGTGGTATAGGTGTGGTGCAGGTGAGCAGGTGGTACTCCCTTTGCCCTGCAGGTGTACAAGCAGAAAGTGAAGCACCTGCTGTATGAGCACCAGAACAACCTGACTGAGATGAAGGCCGAGGGCACCGTAGTCATGAAGCTGGCACAGAAGGAGCACCTCACACAGGAGGGTGTGCTGCGCAAGGACATGCGGGCACTGAAGGTGGAGCTCAAGGAGCAGGAGCTGGCCAACGAGGTGGTGGTGAAGAACCTACGGCTGGTAGGTGTGGCGGGGGCACGTGGAGGCTGACAGGTGGTTGGGACGGCGAGCCTAGTGCTGCATGAACTCCTGTTTATTCAACAGCAACTGGGAATTCATGTTTTTGTGTAAGACCTTCTGCATTTTTGCAATTTGTTGAACTTTTTTTTTAAAGCATGCATCCAAACAAACTCCATTTTGGGACCAAGTACACAATTCTGTTTCAGATCTGAGCAAAAAATTGACGTCCCTGAAGAAAAAAATCCAGCTTAGGATCTTTCATGTGCTGCTGACACCTGACACCCAGAGACTTTTCCTAGGGAATAGCGTCAAATGCATTTAGTAGAATGCAAACCAACCATTAAAATATCCAGTGTGTTGACTCCTGGGCAGCTGTGACAGTTTGTCACACAAGCTGGTCTGATTTTTACTTTTGAGGCGGGGGGTTTCCAGGGCAGCACTAAATTCATCTGTGCACCTGGTTGAGTGACTCATACCCGTAATCCCAGCACTTGGGAGGGTTAGGTGGGAGAATTGGTTGAGGCCAATAGTTTGAGACTAGCTTGGGTGAAATAGTTGAACCCCATGTCTAAAAATTAAAAAACCATTAACTGGTGTGGCGGCTCATGCTGATAGTTTCAGCTACTTGGGAGGCTGAGGTGGAGGGTCTCTAGAGCTCAGAAAGTCAAGGCTGTAGTGAGCTAGGATCGCGCCTTTGCACTCCAGCCTAGGTGACAGAGTGAGACAAAACAAAAAGGAAAGAACTTACTGGCTGAGTGTCCATTAGCTGCTAGGTCCTGATCTGATCTCGGACAAAATGCCTGCCCGACTGGGTCTGATGGTCTAGAAAGGAGAGACAACAGGTGAGCTGGAAGACAAAATAAATGTGTCAGATACAACAGAGTATCTGGTGGGGAAGAGTGCTATAGAAGGAGCAAAGTGGGGAGAGGTAGGGTGCAGTTTTATACAAGTAGGTGACCAGCTGGGCGAGGGGATGGGCCAGTGGGAAGGCCCAGAGTAACAAGGAGGAGAACACTGGGGGAGAGGGGTCAGAGCTTGTCCGCCTTGAAAGCTGTGGTGAGGAGTAGGACTTTGACCCTGGGGGAGTCGATTGCCCTCTGAGAACCTGGGCAGAGGAGAGTCGTGTCTGACTAAGGTTCTTCCTGGCTGCTGGGTTGAGGAGACTTTCTTAACACATTTGCCTCACGCCTGGAAGCAGTCCAGCCTCAACTGAATCTGGAAGAAACTTGGTGACATTGCTGACTTTGCAGCAAAGCATAAGAGTGCTGAAGTCTTGAACCCTCCAGAATTATCTGGTCTTAACCCAGGTCCTGGATATGGTATTGTTACAGAATCAGAGTTTCCTGTTGGGTAAAAATACGGCTTTAGGCCAGGTGTGGTGGCTCACGCCTGTAATCCCAGCACTTTGGGAGGCCGAGGCGGGCGGATCACGAGGTTGGGAGTTTGAGACCAGCCTGACCAACTTGGTGAAACCCTGTCTCTACTAAAAATACAAAAATTGGCCAGGCATGGTGGCACGCGCCTGTAATCCAAGCTACTTGGAACGCTGAGGCAGAAGAATCGCTTGAACCTGGGAGACGGACGTTGTGGTGAGCCGAGATCGTGCCACTGCACTCCAGCCTGGGCAACAGAGTGAGAATCTGTCTCAAAAAAAAAAGAAAGATTGCTGCTTTAAAAATAATTGGCCGGGCGCGATGGCTCACGCCTGTAATCCCAGCACTTTGGGAGGCCGAGGTGGGCGGATCACAAGGTCAGGAGATCGAGACCACCCTGGCTAACACGGTGAAACCCCGTCTCTACTAAAAATACAAAAAAATTAGCTTGGCGTGGTGGCGGGCACCTGTAGTTCCAGCTAATCGGGAGGCTGATGCAGGAGAATGGCGTGAACCTGGGAGGCGGAGCTTGCAGTGAGCCGAGATGGCGCCACTGCACTCCAGCCTGGGCGACAGAGCGAGATTCCGTCTCAAAAAAAAAAAAAATTTAATTTTTTATGCAAAATTTTAATATATAATGTTTATTTAAATATATATAATAATTGCTTATTTTAAAAAATATATATTTATTTTTAGAGATGAAGTCTCACTCTGTCTCCCAGGCTGCAGTGCAATGGTACAGTCATAGCTCACTGCAGCGTCGAACTCCTAGTCTCAAGTGATCCTTCTGCCTTAGCCTCCCAGGTAGCTGGGACCATAGATATGAGCCACCACACCCACCTAATCTTTTTTTTTTTTTGAGATGGAGTTTTGCTCTTGTTGCCCAGGCTGGAGTGCAGTGGTGTAATCTGAGTTCACCACAACCTCCGCCTCCTGGATTCAAGCGATTCTCCTGCCTCAGCCTCCCGAGTAGCTGGGATTACAGGCGTGTGCCACCACGCCCGGCTAATTTTGTATTTTTAGTAGAGATGGGGTTTCTCTATGTTGGTCCGGCTGGTCTTGAACTCCCGACCTCAGGTGGTCGGCCCACCTCGGCCTCCCAAAGTGCTGGGATGACAGGTGTGAATACTTTGAAAATGCTGCTTTAGGCAGCAGTGCAGCAGGTTGGAAACTACACACGGCACCTGGAGAGATCCCACGGCTCTGTGTGGATGTGGCTGCTGCTCTCCAGGCTGTGGGATGGTTTGGTAAGGGAACCAAGCTGGGTTCAGTGCTCATGACGTCTGTTCATGTTCTCTCAAACTTAGAGGCGACTTTCGTTGAGGGAGGTGAGTTAGGAAATGTGCAGGTGAACAAAACCGTGTTACTCTGGGCATATTTCATGAACCTGGAGGTGAGGGGAACCCAGTAGCCAGCAGCAAAATGGGGTTTGTTGGGCTGGGTTTTTCATGGAGGTGAGGAACAGGGTCAGCCTGAAGGGAGCGGGCTTGCCTCTATGTCTGGCTGTCCAGTAACAGCCTCTTTTCACCTGTGCAGAAACACACTGAGGAGATCACCAAGATGCGGAATGATTTTGAGAGGCAAGTTCGAGGTCAGTTTCCCATGTGCTCATTGTGACACCCTCCCCGCCCTCCTCCATCCGAAAGGATTTACCTCCAGAGCTTGTTAACTCAGGGAACAAAAACTAGATTAAAACAGCCCAGGCATGCAAGAGAAAGAATGTGGAAGTTTCCAAGGCCAGTAGACCCACTCAGAATCCCAGAACAACCTATTTCCATGTGAGTTTGGGAGGCTGTGATTACCACACACTTTCCCACTCCTAGCTAAAATCAGTAGCTATCAGCAGGTGGTAGCTATTCAGTGCCATGGGCAGCATTTTAAAAATAGTCTTCTCCATGGCTCCTGGTCTGAGAAGGCTCCAATTTCAGCTGTTTTACTCACAAAGGCTGATAGTCCAGCTGGACGGCCACACAGGCCTTGCTTACTGCTCACTGGGGTCAGCTGACATGCAGCTGTTGGCACCCCCAGTGCAGGGAGCGATTAGCAATGCCTGTCGCTGGCAAAGGCAGGCCGACAGTGGTGTGTGTGCTGAGTACGAGCATCAGCAGAAAACACTCAGTGTAAACCCCTCTGTTCTCTTGCAGAGCTTGCTTGCAAAGCTGTTCTGACCACAATGGGCATTTTGGGCCCCTGTTTACAGGCTGCATGTTCTGTAGCCATAGGGGCACCACTTCTTCCTCTGCCAAGCTGCTGTTTCCTGCTGCCTTTCAGAAATTGAGGCCAAGTATGATAAGAAGATGAAGATGCTGAGGGACGAGCTCGACCTGCGGAGAAAGACTGAGCTCCACGAAGTGGAGGAGAGGAAGAACAGCCAGATCAACACGCTGATGCAGCGCCACGAGGAGGCCTTCACCGACATTAAGAACTACTACAATGACATCACCCTCAACAACCTGGCCCTCATCAACTCCCTCAAGGTGCTGCGCGTGGGGTGGGCTGGGGAGACACACTCTGCCTGTCCTAGAATGTGGGCTGCAGAGTCCTGGGGATCCGGACCCCAGTCCACCCCAACACCCCCAATACTTTTTATAGGATTATTTGACAATGCCCTTCTCATATCCTTAATTGAAATTCCTAAATAATGTAACCTATCGCTACCTATTGTTCAAAGCAGTCAGGATATTGCCCTCACCCTAGTGCAGAGGGGGAAGTAATCAAGTGTATTCTGATTTGTAAAAGCTCGGGTGGAACTGCAGTGAGTGACGTGATGTGGCTGGAGTGGATAGGTGTCATTGTCCCTACATGCTGGCAGTGACAGGATTTTCTACAGTAGACAACGGCCCTTGGTGGAATCTTGAACAAAGTGTAGTCCCTCAGTGTGCATGGAAGCTGCATTCCCAGAAAACTCAGAATTAAGTTGAAGCTGCAGAAATACTGTTTATACATAGAACAGGTCTAGGTGCTAGCATGCCTGAGGCTGGCAGGATCTGGTGATGGGCAGGAGAGCACCCAGCTCTCACCCTGCAGGCCACAGCCCCTTTGGTTCTGCCTGCTGAGCCCCTGCTGGGTCTGTGCTTGTGCCTGCAGGAGCAGATGGAGGACATGCGGAAGAAGGAGGACCACCTGGAGAGGGAGATGGCAGAGGTGTCTGTGCAGAACAAGCGCCTGGCAGACCCTCTCCAGAAGGCTCGGGAGGAGATGAGCGAGATGCAGAAGCAGCTCGCCAACTACCAGAGGGACAAGCAGATCCTGCTTGTGAGTTTCCTGCTGGATTCCTCTCCCTCCTTGGCACGAGTTAGCCTAGACTCAGGAGGAAGGAGCATCACAGGGGCAGGAAGGGAGACGGGGGAGGCCTGCATTTCTCCTTTTTCTGCCTTGTGTTCTCCTGGGGAAAGTAAAGTCTGGGGGTGTTTTGGAGACAAGGCCCTCATCTTCCACCATGTGCTACTGACCTGCCTTGAAGGGGCTCAGCTGCTTGTGTCCTGGAACCATGTCTTTCTGGCGATTATTTTTGGCCTTGCCATCTCCCAGGAGCCTGTGTTACTTGGATGACTGTGAATCTTGAATACTTTCTGTCCCCTACTCCGTTTTTCCTCCAGTGCACAAAAGCCCGTTTGAAAGTCACGGAGAAAGAGCTGAAAGACCTGCAGTGGGAGCATGAAGTGTTAGAGCAGCGGTTCACCAAGGTGAGTGGGCACCAGGCTGGCCCTGCAGCGGGGTTTGGCACCCCTGCTAGCCAGGGACGGGGCTCTCCTTGTGGCCCTGGCCCCTGGACCAGCTTCAGATACCTTGGCCAGGTTTTTAGGTTCTGAAGTTGGGGGCCCTATTCCTTGTAACTCATTCCACAGCTTCTAAGAGGCGAAAGCCTTTGGCCTATTCCGCATGCATATCCTGCGGAAGGCCTGAGGTCTCATGGGGAGCAGATCACACATGACTTTCGGCCCCTTAAGCGCTCACCTCTCAAAGCCCATGAGGGATGCCTGGCCCCTGCAGCACCTCTTTTCTTCCATGGGTTTATGTTTCTAAGTGCTAACCCTAACCACCTCACTGTAAAGAAGTCATGGGGTCTTAAGTGTGAGTGAAAATGAGCCTCCAGCTCCTCACGCTGGTGAGTTTTATGAGCTCCCTTCCAGGTTTCCTGCATGCTCTAGTGTGGATGTGACTTTCTGTGTTATGAACCCGGGATCAGGCCATAAGCACAACTTGCTTTTTAATCTCACAATGTATCAGGCTGCACACAGGAAGCCGTTTCATCCTGTTCACAGCCACGTGGTGCTGCATTTCATGAATGTGTGATCATTTAGCTGACTCCCCTCTGTTTCTAATCCTCTGCTGTTATAAGCATTGCTGCCTCAATCCTTTTAAATTTGTCTCTGTGCACTTGTGTGAGATTGCTTCTTAGGAAAGCCAGTTCCTGGCAGTGGGATTGTTGGGTCTGAGGGGTCTGTGTTGAGGGTTCTGATCTGTCCAGAGGGCTGCTCTGAGTCACACACCTGCCAGGGTGCGGAGGGGCCGTCTCCATCCTCAGCTGCACCAGATCTGACAGGTTTAAACCTTTGCAGAAGTGACTGGGGGAAAACATTTCATTTCGTGTGCCCTTCCGAGATTGCCAGTGAGTGGTAGGGGTGCTTGGTCTTGTCTTTGTCCCTCAAAGAGACTCCTTGCCTCTGTTGAGTTTCAAAGTTCTGGCCAAGGACCAATCCTTGCACCATGGGGCCCTCAAGGCTTTGTCTGTGGTGTGCGTGGCCAGATCATCTTATCTTGAGCTGCAGTTACGTGTGCTGTTTGTGTTCTCTGGCCTAATTGAAATTCATGAACACAAACGGTTGTAGTAGGATTCGCCCCTTGGAAACATCCCATCTGTCTGTCAGATCTAGCCCCACCTTCAGAGACACCTCAGGTCCTACATGATGTGCATTGCTAGACTGTGCCAACTCTTGGCACCTAAGGGAAGGGTGCCCCAGTGAGACTCTGAGGACTGCTGTGTTAGGGGCCCTTCCTCCTCCCTGTGAGTTTTGAGGTGGACATTACTGGGAAGAGGAGAGCAGAGACGTGCCTGGGTTGGAGTCTTGTTCCCTGCCATATTTTCTTCCATTTGAATGTGGTTCCTGACAGTGTCAAAGTCAGTGTCTCTTCCTAGAGAACTGAGAGCTTAAATTTGTCAGCAAAATTTAGAGACCAAAGGCACTTACTTATTTATTTTTATTTTTTGAGATGGAGTCTCACTCTATCGCCAGGCTGGAGTGCCGTGGCGCGATCTCGGCTCACTGCAACCTCCGCCTTCCGGGTTCAAGTGATTCTCCTGCCTCAGCCTCCTGGGTAGCTGGGACTACAGGTGCCCACCACCACGCCTGGCTAATTTTTTGTATTTTTAGTAGAGACGGGGTTTCACCGTCTTGGCCAGGATGGTCTCGATATCTTGACCTTGCGATCCACCCGCCTCAGCCCCCTAAAGTGCTGGGATTACAGGCGTGAGCCACTGCGCCCGGCCCAAAGGCACTTATAATCCACGTGCCTGCGGACAGGGAATTGGATTTAAGCAAATCTGGGGAATTCTAACTAACAGCAGTTAGAAGGGATACAGGGCCAGGTGCTGTCTTGGAGGTGCTCCAGGTATCACAGGTCGTGCTTTGAAAAAAGCTGCAGTATTTTAGCATCCTGTTTTCTTCCAAACAGTCATAAATGTTTTTACGTGTATAGAGAACATTCTGGAAGGGGTCACACCAAGTGTTCACAATGGTGGGTGGCCTCTGGGAACTGGGGTTAAGGGTGTTCCCTTTTTTTTTTTTTGAGATGGAGTTTCGCTCTTGTTGCTCAGGCTGGAGTACAATGGCGTGATCTTGGCTCACTGCAACCTCCACCTCCTGGATTCAAGCGATTCTCCTGCCTCAGCCTCCCAAGTAGCTGGTATTACAGGCGCTTGCCACCATGCCCAGCTAATGTTTGGTATTTTTGATAGAGATGGGGTTTTACTATGTTGGCCAGGTTGGTCTCCAACTCCTGACCTCAGGTGATCCACCCACCTCACCCTCCCGAAGTGCTGGGATTGCAGGCATGAGCCACCGCACCCTGCTCAGAGTGTTCACTTTTTTATAGTCTTCAACCAGGTCTAGATTTTTTTTAGAATGTGCAATTAATAAGTAGAAGAATTAGGAGGTAAAAAAGAAGAGTCTTACTGGCCAGCAGGCAGCTGACTCCAAGGCCGTGCTCCAGATCCGCCATTTGTGGGGCGGACAGCACCTGTCCTGTGATGCCAGGATCTGGGGTGGGCCAAGGGAGCACATCCTCCAAGGGGTTCCACCGGCAAGCTCTGCCTGCTGGATGCCCTGGATCTCACATCTCACCTGAGCCCACAGCCCTCACTCGGGCAGGGCAGGACTGGCCTCGGCCACCCATGGAGCAGCTTTCAGGGTGGGGCTGCTCCAGCTCTCGCCGGGACACTCACAGCTTCCAGAGACACCTTCCTGAGAGGAGGGCTCGTGCCGACGTTTTCCTCCTGCCTTCCACTGTGTGGCGGCTATATAGAGGGCCAGGGCGCAGGCAGTGTGGACCACACCCCGGTGCTGTGGGAGTGGGCGCTATTGGAAACTACCTCCCATAGAAGCAGCGTGTTCCAGGCAGGTGCAGAGGTGGGAGGCAGCGTCTTGCCAGCGAGATGTCCCCAGGTGAGGGGCCTCATCGCCCACCCCAGCACTGTCCCTGCAGGTGCAGCAGGAGCGGGACGAGCTCTACCGGAAGTTCACTGCAGCCATCCAGGAGGTGCAGCAGAAGACAGGCTTCAAGAACCTGGTGCTAGAGCGCAAGCTACAGGCTCTGAGCGCTGCTGTGGAGAAGAAGGAGGTGCAGTTCAACGAGGTCCTGGCTGCCTCTAACCTGGACCCCGCAGCCCTGACGCTGGTGTCCCGCAAGCTTGAGGTAGGCCCTAGACAGGCTCCTGGCCCCAGTGGGCAGCCTCTTCCATGTGGCAAGGGTCTTCAGTTCTGTGCTGTTCCCCCTCGGATGGGCACAGAGACCCCTCGGTTAACCACTGGGGAGGGGGCATTCATGGGTTTCCTGTGACCTGAGAACAGAGCGGGGTGCTGTAGGCATGGATGCCTCTCACTGTCTACACCAGCAGCCTCTTCTCACAGTTCTGCTCAAGTCTCTCTTGGATCTTCCCTTGCCCCTGTGTGACCTCATGGTGACTCCTAACCTCTGAGCCTCTGCCCACTCCAATTCTCGGGTCTGGCTCATCTGAGCACGTAAGGCTCTAGTCATCTGCGTGTAGCCTGAGGATGGCCTTGGGAGTGGAAAAGCCACTCTTGGAATCTCTGTGGGCCTGAGCTCGTCTGTTGGTGGTAACAGACCCAGACACAGGCCTGGAGGATGGTGGTACTTCCTGAGCTCTCAGCCCAGGGCACCGCATCCTGGGACAGAGATGGTACTGGGAGGCCCTGAGATGGGCTGGTTTAGGACATGGACAGTTACGGATACGGTAAGTGCAGGGCCGTGGGAGCCTGGGGAGCCTGACCCCACCTTTGCAGGTACTGGGGACATGAAGTCTAAGCAGAGCCCAGAACATTCCCTCATTCTGTGTCACAGTTATTTATGGTGCTGCTCTGCTAGGGTGTCCCGGGCATGGGCGAGGGCAGTAAAGAAAGCAGATGAGGCCTGGGCCCCCCACAGGGAGAAACAGCATCAGCTGGAGGATCAGGAGGAGGCTGGAGCCTGCAACTGCCTCACAGGTGGTCTCTTACCTGTGTCCAGCTTCTGGACCTGGGCCTTGCCTCTGTTCCCTGGACCTCGTTGGGAGAAGTCACAGAAGGAACAGGATACAGGGCAAAGGGTCTTTGACCCTGGAATCCTGGCCAGGTGAGGCCAGGCCTGTGGCTTCCTCGGGGCCCTCCAAGTTGGATGACATGTGCCCCTGGCCCAGTTGCTGCCCCTGAGCTGGAAACAGCTGGTCTTGAAGCCTCTACCAACAGCCCCAGCACAGGGAGGCTGGGTTGTCACAGAGATGCAGCCTTCGGGGCCACAGGGTACCCGTCTGTCTTTGTGCTGGACTCGTCCTTCAGTGAAACAGATGCCTGGGACATAGGCTTGAGGCTTCCTCACTGTCTGGGGAAGCATCTTTTATCCTGAGAACTATCACAGATGGCATTTTTGTTTGTTTGTTTTCAAGACTAAGTGTTGCTCTGTTGCCCAGGCTGGAGTGCAGTGGCGTGATCTTAGCTCACTGCAGCCTTTCCCTCCCAGGTTCCAGTGGTTCTTGTGCCTCAGCCTCCTGAGTACCTGGGATTACAGGCATGTGCCACCACGCTCGGCTAATTTTTGTATTTTTAGTAGAGACGGAGTTTCACCATGTTGGTTAAGCTGGTCTTGAACTCCTGACCTCAAGTGATTTGCCCGCCTCGGCCTCCCAAAGTGCTAGGATTACAGGCATGAGCCACCGTACCCAGCCACAGATGGCGTTTTTTTTTTTTTTTGTAAATTATTTTATTTCTTCCTTGATGATTTAGAGGGACTGTCTTTAAACCAGTACAAATAGTTCATACATAATACCTGGCCATTTTCTTCCGAAATCTCTCTCTCTCTCTGTTTTTTTTTTTCCGAGACAGGAGTCTTGCTCTGTCACCCAGTCTGGAGTGCAGTGGCGTGATCTTGGCTCACTGCAACCTCTGCCTTCTGGGTTCAAGCAGTTCTCCTGCCTCAGCCTCCTGAGTAGCTGGGATTACAGGCGTGCACCACCACGCCTGGCAAATTTTGTGTTTTTAGTAGAGACGGGGTTTTACCATGTTGGTCATGCTGGTCTCAAACTCCTGACCTCATGACCTGCCCACCTCAGCCTCCCAAAGTGCTAGAATTACAGGTGTGAGCCACTGCGCCTGGCAATTTTTGTATTTTTTTTAGTAGAGATGGGGTTTCACCATGTTGGCCAGGTGGATCTCGGACTCCTCACCTCGTGATCCACCCTCTTTGGCCTCCTAGAGTGCTGGGATTACAGGCGTGAGCCACCACACCTGGATACCTGGCCATTTTCTAACCAGTTGAATAATTTGTTGCACAATAAGCTACCTCACGTCTTTCAGCAAGAAATACATTACATTTGAGTAGTAAAGACATTACATAATGAATGAGGACACAATTAAAATTTGCTTTAAATATTTCTTTGGGGGAGAGGATGCCACACTTCTACTCAATGAAGAGAAACATTTTATAGTCCAGAGGTCTTGTGTTTTTTAACACCTATGATGCCATGAATTCATCGGGAAGAGGTTCCAGCAGCTTGGGCTCCTTCCCGTTGATTCTCACAAAGCTGCTTCTCTGGGTGGAGCAGGCTGGCGCTTCAGCTGAACCCACGTACCTTTCTCTTCAGCTTTTTTCTTCTTCTGATCATTTTCCTTCACGCGTTTCAGGAAGCTGTCTCAGCTCTTAGAGTGCTCAGTGTGCTCAGTACACACCTTAATTCTCTCAGCAAGAATCTTGCCCTTGTTTGTTTACAACAACGCCAGCAGCGTGCTGGGGAACACTGCAGACTCCACAGTTCAGCCATGGCAGCACTTGTGGGGCTTCCTTTTTGAACAGTACCCATTCCCTTGATGTCTGCAGTATCAGCTTTCTTACAGATTTGCATATACATGGCCAGAGGAACAACTGTGTTTTCTAAAAAGCCGGAGAATGTGTATCAGGTGCCTCTCCTCTTTCCCTTTGTGTTTGTCATTTGGGCGAATTACTGGAAGATGGTGGTTCCAGCCGCAAGGCCACAGATGGCGTTTTTAAGGTGATTGGTCCACATGCAGTTCAGCTGAACACAAATCAATGTGCTCATCGCTGACACCAGGCCAAGGGTTAACCTCATTCAAGTCACCTAATCTTTTTTTTTTCTGCGAGTCGCTGTGTCGCCCAGGCTGGAGTGCAGTGGCACAGTCATAGTAGTGAGCCCCTCGCTGAGCCGCCCTGGGGGCACCCAGGTGTTGGACAGATGCAGGACTGGGCTGAAAAGGCTGGTTCTGAAAGGCCCGTCAGCTGTGCCTTTGAGTTTCGGGCCAGTTGGGAACTATGGAAGGGCTGGGCAGGGGGAACCAGATCAGAGCCCGCTCTGCTGCTGATGGGGAGCACAGGGCTGGTGGGGCCGGGTGGGGCCAGCACACAGTGGGGACAGGCAGAGGGTTTAAGAACTGCCAGGAGGCTGAGTCCACAGGTGGGGCTGGGAGGGGCCGAGGTGACTTGGTGTTCGCACATGGGGGAACCGTGGGTCCTGGCCCAGTGGGGGTGGTGCCTGTGGGACCCTGGTCATCTGGGATGGCCTGGCTCTCAGGGCCTGAGGTAGTAAGGCTGGACAGGAGGGGCCTCACCTGGGCCAGAGGCACTGTGGCCCCCAGACTGAAGACTCATCTTTGCTGGTCTGCTCAGCACTGGGCCCTGTGAGCACAGGCAGGTGAGGGGTCACTGCTGGGAGGCGGGGGAGGTGTGTTTCCAGCTCCTGGCTGAGGGCTGCACCCGGCCTGCTGCTAAGCCACCGCAATGAGGGTGAAGAGAGCAGTTGTGGCCTGTGAGAGTTGTTGCAGCTGCGCCCATGCACCAGGGTGAGGATGGAGCTAAATGTGGGTCAATTCCTTCTTTCCTGGTCATTGTTACCTTGACTTCTAAGTGAGGAATCTTCTGGGGAAATGACAGAGGCCCCCGCAGGGACACTGTTTGCAGACTGGGCAGGTTGGGGTGTGAGGGGGCTGCTGTGTCAGTGGGCAGCAGAGACGGCTCAAAAGCCAGGCTGGGCCCAGCAGTGCCCCACAGGCAGGAGCCCAAGAAGTCCCCTGCCTCACCACGTGGTGAAACCCTTGCCCACATCTGGGTGGGGCCAACGCTGCTATAGACTGTTTGTTTCTGTTACAAAAAAGTGGGATGGCCGGGCGCGGTGGCTCACGCCTGTAATCCCAGCACTTTGGGAGGCCAAGGCGGGCAGATCACAAGGTCAGGAGTTCAAGACCAGCCTGGCCAAGATGGTGAAACCGTCTCTACTAAAAATGCAAAAATTAGCTGGGTGTGGTGGCAGGTGCCTGTAATCCCAGCTATTTGGGAGGCTGAGGCAGAGAATTCCTTGAACCTGGGAGGTGGAGGTTGCAGTGAGCCTAGATTGCACCACTGCACTCCAGCCTGGGCAACAGGGCGAGACTCCATCTCAAAAAAAAAAAGTGAGACAGTACATTTACAGGCCTTAAGAAATGTAATGTAAGCAATATGCGAGTGGTGTTTAGTGGCCCGTCTCCACGGTGTGGCTGCACGCTGCCTGCCCTTGCCTCATCTGCATTTCTTTTGTGTCTGGACCGTTTTTGGGGTTTTTCTGAGGTGGTGTCTTGCTCTGTCATCCAGACTAGAGTGCAGTGGCTCAATCTCAGCTCACTGTGACCTCTGTTTCCCAGGTTCAAGCGATTCTCGTGCCTCAGCCTCCTGAGTAGCTGGGATTACATAGGTGCAAGCCACTGTGCCCGGCTACTTTTTGTATTTTTAGTAGAGATGGGGTTTCGCAACGTTGGCCAGGCTGGTCTCAAACTCCTGACCTCAAGTCATCTGCCTTCCTTGGCCTCCCAAACTGCTGGGATCACAGGCGTGAGCGGCTGTGCCCGGCTCGGACTGTTGATGGAGATGCAGGTTGTGTGAGCACAGGCTCCCAGTTCTCTTGTTTCTTGTTGTTTTCTCTCCACCCTTGGAGACCTTTTTCTGCTGACGACCTTGTGTGGATGGATGCATCCATCAAACCGGGCTGCTGTTCCCTGGATCTCTGAGGACCCCCACTGGAACCCGCAGACCACCCCCACTGCCTCGGCCAAAAGATGAGTCTCAAACTCCATCACCTCTCTCTCCTCAGGATGTTCTGGAATCGAAGAACAGCACCATCAAGGACCTGCAGTATGAGCTGGCCCGGGTCTGTAAGGTACGGATGTGCCCTGCCCTCCCTCAGGGCCACCCCCTCAGTGCCCAGCCTGTTCTAAATGCAGATGGTCTCAGAGGACCGCACCCATTCCCACATTGTACCTCGTTTGACAAGGCAGCTGTCACTGTCCCCAGCTGAGAGCATCTGAATTCTGTGTGGTGTGGGGCACAGCACTGTTGTCTAGGCCACATCTCTGCTGGGATGGGTGTAGGGGGGGACCTGGACCCTTCCCTGGTCAGCCCCTTCCACTGGGCAGGGAGTCAGAAGGTGCTGTGCCCACCAGGGAAGGTAACAGACGTCATTCAACAGGGGCAGGGAGGGCGTGAAGAACCTGAGTGGGAAACACCCAACCAAGGCCCAGAGCCCTCCCAGACCACAGCTCTGCCCTGAGTGTCCCTGCCCTCTGCCTCTGTCTCCTCATTTGTGGAACAGGAATAGGAACAGCCTCTCCCTGTCATGCTACCTGAGCCAATGCAGTGGAGGTGCTTGGTGCTGTGTCCCACACAGGAAATGACTGATAAGCCTTTGGCTTTATCCTTCTACACCGTGATGATCACGTTGCCCCTCCACGGAGCTGCACTCAGCTCTGGTGGTCCTGAGCCTGGGGATCCTCAGCTCCCTCACACCGCCCTGTCTCCACAGGCCCATAACGACCTGCTGCGCACGTACGAGGCAAAGCTGCTGGCCTTCGGGATCCCTCTGGACAACGTGGGCTTCAAGCCCTTGGAAACAGCTGTGATCGGGCAGACACTGGGCCAGGGCCCCGCGGGACTAGTGGGCACCCCCACGTAGCTGCCCCACTGGGGGGCCACAGCCCAGAGAGCCAGCCTAGGAACACTCTGGATGACAACCCCTTTCACACCAAGGACAGCAAGATTTTTAGATTTTATCATCAGCAAATGAAAGCTTTTCACGTGTTCTTGCCATCCTCATTCCTGGCTCTGTGGAGGAGAACCACCTGCAGGACCCTCCCCCGTGGTATCCCTGTCGCTTTCTTCCCTGGGTGCATGTCCAGGCTGTGTCCAGGCCTACTCCCCGGTCTCACCTCCGACCACAGTCAGCAGCACCTTCTCAGAGTGCCCCGCACTCACCTGGGGGCTGGGGCAGTGCTGCACTGTGCTGCCTGTCTTCATGCCACTGTCGTCCCATCAAGTGGACAGCTTTGCAGGTGCTGGCACTGACTTTATTGACACCTGAGTCACAGCCGCCCAGTGGGATTCTCCAGGGGGCCAGGACTTCCCCAGGAATTGGTGACACCAGTGCTCCCCGCTGAGCACGAAGCCCACTCTGTTGAGGGCTGGGTGGGTGCAGCCAGCGTGCGGGAAAGGGCAGGCAGCCTCCTGCTGCCAGTCTTCGCTCTAGCTCCCTCGATAGGTGGTGTAGGACCAGGGGCTCAGCAGCAGGGGCACGTGGAACTTCTGGGCATTGCTGGTGATGGTGAACACAACCTGCGACGGAGAGAGGGCCAGGAGAGAGCATAAGGGGATGGCAGCAAACCACCTGTCTGGCCCCAACACACCTGGGAGAATTCAGCAGCCCAGACTGAGGGTCTGGGAGGGGGTGAACCCTCTGCACCAGAGGGACACTCCACAGAAGCTGCAGCCTAATAAGTCAGGTGCTTCTGTGGCGGCTCTGGTGTGGGGTGAGGCAGTGAGGTTAGGCCCAGAGAGCTGGAGTTGGCTCAGATGAAAACCTGTCAACAAAGAGGGGATGAGTGGCCCAGCCTCCCCACAAAGCCTGACCCTGAGCAGGTCAGCGATGGGTGTGTCCTCATAGAGTCTATTGCTGCCTGGGCACCTTTCTTTTGGGAGCTCAAAGCAAGTGAGCTCACCTACCTGCCCCCGCCCAGGACCAGTCTGCCCACTGTCTAAATGATGCCCGGCCAGCAGGACCTGGCCTGCAGATCCCAGTGAGTCATGGGCCTCAGGCCCTCCAGCCCACCGGGCCTCTCACCTCCACGTATGGGTAGAAGCTTTCCTGCCCCCTCTTCCTCCAGTAGCCCTCGGTGTCGAAGGTGAGCTTGTAGGTGCCTGCCTTCATCTGGTCCGGCATCAGGAGTCCAGGGCAGCGGCCATCTGGGTCTGTGTAGCTGGGGAGAGGATGAGGCTGCAGAGATGGGGTGAGAAGCCCCCATCCCAGCTTTCCTGCATCTGTACCCCAGCGGGCCTCAGACACTGCCCTGCCACCTGTCAGACTCAGGCGAGCAGACACAGTGGGGCTGTTAGGGCCTGCAGTTGCAGAGCAGTCCAGGGACACCACTGCCCTGTCTAGGAAATCACAACACAGAGAAGCAAAAAGGGAAAAAGTCTCCCACAGTTTATCCCGTGAGCAATAACCACTTTATAGCTGGCACGTATTTTTCCAGATTTTCTCTATGCATAAGTATATTTGTTTACAAACTTAACTCAAAGTGGATTATACTATTTGTATTGTTTTATAACCTGTGGTTTTCACTTAAAATATTGTGTGTGGCTGGGCGCGGTGGCTCACGCCTGTAATCCCAGCACTTCGGGAGGCTGAGGCGGGCAGATCACGAGGTCAGGAGATCGAGACCATCCTGGCTAACACCGTGAAACCCTGTCTCTACCAAAAATACAAAAAATTAGCTGGGCGAGGCGGCGGGCTCCTGTAGTCCCAGCTACTCGGGAGGCTGAGGCAGGAGAATGGCAGGAACCCGGGAGGTGGAGCTTGCAGTGAGCTGAGATCGCCCCACTGCACTCCAGCCTGGGTGACAGAGCGAGATTCCGTCTCAAGAAAAAAAAAGGAAAAGAAAAATGTGTGGCTTTCTGCCAAACCCTCACCCACAGAATGGGCCTGTCCAGCTCCACGGAGCGTCTGTGTTGCATGCCCTGGTCCCTTATCAGGGTTCTGAACAACTGTGGCTTTGCCCATAGTCACCTCCGGAAAACCTCACATCGTTCTTGCCAGCCGGTGTTTAAACTGCGCGCCTCTACTGTGATTAGAAGGAGCAGGCCCAAACAAGGTGGCTCACACCTGTAATCCCAGCACTTTGGGAGGCCAAGGCGGGTGGATCACGAGGTCAGGAGTTCAAGGTAAGTCTGGCCAAGATGGTGAAACCCCGTCTGTACTAAAAATATAAAAATTAGCCGGGGGTGGTGGCGGGTGCCTGTAATCCCAGCTACTTGGGAGGCTGAGACAGGAGAATCTCTTGACCCCGGGAGGTGGAGGTTGCAGTGAGCCGATATCACACCATTTCACTCTAGCCTGGACAACAAGAGAAACTGTCTCAAAAACAAAACAAAACATAGCATGTGTGCATGGGGGGAATGGGTCTCTGTGACCCACCACGGACACCCAGCCCACACAGTGCCGTCCTAATTTCTCACGTGAGACCTGGACCCCTCATGTCTCAGCTTTTGTGAAGGACCAAATGAGGACCGGCACGGTCACACTCTGATCCTATGGGCCCAGCCCTGCCCTTCTGGCTGGAAGGGAGGGGCCTGCCTCTCATGCAGGGGCCATAAGGCCTGGGTAGGTGACATCTGCCTCTGGAAGTGCCCCGAAGAGCCTGTGCCTGGGGCAGTGGGCAAGACCCCATGGAGGCTGAGGGACACACTGCCCCTCAGCCTGGCTGGGAATCCCAGCATGTACCTGGGCTTGCTGCCTCAGTCTTCCCATGTGTGAAGAAGGGGTAAGTATGGTGCTGGCCCACGGGGTGTATGGAGAATGAAGAGTGGAAATAGTGTCCAGCCTACCGCCTGTCACAAGGTTACCCGTGATCTCAGTGACAGTGAGGTCTTTGATTCCACCTCAGGCCTCACCTAACCACTACCCCCCGCCCTCGCCCTGGCACAGCTGCCAGGACGAGGCAGAAACTCACTCCCGCCCCATGAGGGTCACAGGGGCCTGAGGCTGGAGGGAGGGAGGAAACAGCTGCTCTCCTCATCCCTGTATTTCCTGAGGCTGAGAGAAGTAGAAGGGAGAGCTCCCAACCTAACCCCCAACCCGGGCTGAGAGGAGAGTCAGCCGGGTGAGCTCCGCCCTCAGCCTCACTGCCTGGCTCCTTAGTCCCCGTCATCTGTCTCAGGGCGGGACTCGCCCTCCCAGGGCCTCTCTCCTACCTTGTCCTCAGCTCCATCCACTGCTGGCTGTGGTCCTCCAGCCAGGACAAGCGGAGACAGAGGCCTCTGGCTGGGAGCCCCGAGGCGGTGTCCAGCACATGGGTGGTCAGTGGGCTGTCTGTAGGCTCCATGCTGCTGTCCTGGGCCAGGAGAAGGAGACCAGGGTGAGCCTCTGGAGCCCTGTGCCCGCCCAGCCACTCCAATCCTGCGTCCACACCAGCTGTGGGGCATAAACAGCCCTCTGGACAAGTTCTCCCAGCTGCCCAGGGGACAGGGGGCAAGGGTGACTGGAACTGCCTAGTCAGCTGATAAGGCACCAAACGTAAACAGCGCGATCTGTGCCTCCCGACCCTCCCCCACCAATCCCTCTGGCTCCCCTGCCCCACTGGGGACACCCACTCTCCCACCCACGCCCCCACGAAATGGCCATCTCCCCCCATGCCCTCAGTTCCAGCCCCTGGGGTGGTTCTCCCGGAACTGGGCTCTCCTCCGCGCCCCGATTCCTGGGCCCTCGACGCTCAGCCCCCCGCAAGCAGCTGAGGGGACAGGAGCCCTGCAGGTCCAGGCCTGGCCCCCTAACCTCCTGGGGACCTAGGTGTCGCTGGAGCCTCAGCAGCCGCGGGGCGGCCCGGGAGCTCATCCTGCCCTGCCGGACTGCGACGCCCGCGGCAAAGGGAAGGGCGGGGCCGGTCACCCTGTCCCGGACCACCTTGTGCCCACCAGGAGGGCCCCGGCGGGGCTTTGCCCAGGAAGGGGGCGCTGGTGGGGAATCAGAGCGAACAGACCTGGGGCCCGAAAGCGGGGTCGCGAGGACCTGCTCGGGGGTGGATGGGGGCCGGGGGCGGGGCCGCGGTGAGAGGGGGCGGGGACCGGGGCGGGGCAATGGGAGGGGGCGGGGCGGGGAGACGGTGCTGTCCTGCTCTGGGACCTGGGAACTTTTTTTTTTTGAGACGGAGTCTTGCTCTGTCGTCTAGGCTGGAGTACAATGGCGCGATCTCGGCTCACTGCAACCTCCGCCTCCTTGCCTCAGCCTCCTGAGTAGCTGGGATTACAAGCGCCTGCCACTACGCCCAGATAATTTTTGTGGTTTTAGTTGGGATGGGGTTTCACTGTGTTGGCCAGGTTGGTCTCGAACTCCTAACCTCGTGATCGGCTTGCCTCGGCCTCCCAAAGTGCGAGGATTACAAGCGTGAGCCACCGCGCCTGGCCGGGAACGTCTTTCTTCTTGTCAAACTGCGTTTCCAGTTCTTGGGTGGTCAGCGTGGGTTAGTTGTAGATAAAAAATTAGGCCACTCAAAGTCAAGGGAGGAGACCCCTCTCAGCAAAGGTTCGGAGTATTCTGGCTTACAACTACTTTGGGACTAGTTAGGAAACATTTATTTGGGATTCAAACACACATGACATTTGTTGTGGATTCTGTTTATAGGAGATAATCCCAAAGAGAGGCTCACACCTATTATGGCAAATGCCCATGGGTGCCAGAGACCAGAGACAACCAGACTGGCCCCAGTGGGGAAAAATTACCTAAACACCAGGGTACTCTGCAGCCCTTTAAAAAGCATGAGGCCCAGTTGTGTGTAAGATGAGAATTCTCCTGCAAAACAACTAGTGACAAAGGACAAAACAGTGTATAAAAGGGGGGAAGCTTGTAAATTCGTATCTCGCTTTCACTGACTTGCAAGGATTAGCTAATTTAATCCTCATAACAACCTCATGCTGTATTGTTGTCCCTACCTTACAAAGCAGGAACTGAGGCACAGGGAGGCCATGTATTGGAATATTTCATAAAAGGAGACACAAAAGTCATCCCAGTGACCACCTCTCGAGATAGGCAGTTGCAGATGGAGTATATTTATTTTTACTGTTTAACCTTTTGTACTCTGAGAAATTCTAGTGGGCTTGTATCACTTTTTCAGAAGTCTCAAATGTTATAAATAAAGTGACAAAACAATGATCAGTCCTTTTGGGGGTTACCATGTAACCTTCCCCCTCTCCTGAGACTCTCCCTGCAGGGAAGGAGAAGCTAGTGGCCTGAGGAGGGAGAATGGCAGACCAAGGAGTTGTCAGAATTCCTCTCCTGGCCTCTCCAGGGTAAATCCCCCATCTTGCACCCACCTAGACCAAGAGGGACTGCAGGGTCCCCTTTCCCAGGGAAACTGAGACCCTCGGCTATGCCTGACCTCCTGGCATCTGCCCCTCTCTGAAAACCAGGGTCACCACTGGGATGTCATGTGCTGTGCTCTGGAAACTTCCTTAATGAGATGACCAGGCTCCACACCCCAAGGCCTTTTTTTTTTTTTTTTTTTTTTTTTGAGACAGTGTCTCACTCTGTCAGCTAGGCTGGAGTGTAGTGGCACGATTTCAGCTCACTGCAACCTCTGCCTCCTGGGCTCAAGCAATTTTCCTGCCTCAGCCTCCTGAGTAGCTGGGATTACAGGTGTGTGTCACCACGCCCGGCTACTTTTTGTATTTTTAGTAGAGACAGAGTTTCACCATGTTGGCCAGGATGGTCTTGAACTCCTGACCTCAGGTAATCTGCCTGCCTTGTCCTCCCAAAGTGCTGGGATTACAGGTGTGAACCACCGTGCCCGGCTGAACACCCTGGGGCCTTTATGGCACCTTCAGGCAAATTTGAAAAAGAAGCGTCATCTTCAAGACTCTTATCTTCCAGAAAATTGTCATAATAAATATCCAAGTAGCCTATCTTTGGTTTTTAAATAAGTTATAATAAAATACAAAAACATTTCAAAATTATAAAGATGTCTGCAGTGATGGAATAATGTCTGAGATACGGAATAATGACACACTGTACAGCCTGAACACATTTTTCTGTCTGTAGAGCCAACCTCCTCCCTCTGACTCGTTGGAACACTTATTTTATTTTGTGGAATGAAGTGTTGCCTGATTCTAGAATTGCAAATGAGGTCAATTGAGATCTTTAAACTGAGTTTGTTGTAGTTTTGTCTTCAGACAGGTTTCTGTTCTCCTGCAGAGACTGGGAGACAAGAGGCCTCACCCTTGCTGATGATCACCTTTCAAAGGGAGGGCTCTCAGGCTTTGAGAGAGGCCCTTCTGAGTCGCAAGACATGCTTACAAACTGAAAGCTTTTTAGTAAACGCTCCAATAAAGGGAGGTCGGGGCCTATCATCAGAAGTTGGCTAGAGCAGAGATCCCCAAACGGGCCACATAGTAGGAGGTGAGCGCATGGGCAAGCGAGCAAATGAAGCTTCATCTCTATTTCCAGCTGCTCCCCATCAGTGGCATTAGGCCTCCTGAGCCTCCAGTCAGATCAGCAGCAGCGTCGATTCTGATAGGAGCACGAACCCTATTGTGAAGTGCGCCT